GAACATAAGGCTCTGGCATATACAGAATGGTTCCTTTCCCCTCCCTCTGCCAGAAGCACAAAGGGATTTTTTTTCAGATATTCACTGTGAGAAATGTATAGAATTCCTATAGGTAAAATTTGGAGAAGTGTGCTTCCCACCCACAATGATAGGGTTTTCTTAGAGTTTTTATTTCTCAGACTAGTCTACTCGGAGCCTCCAACAATTCATCAATTACATTTGGGGTCTCCTTACTGCAGCACTGTTCCCCACAGAGGTTCCGGCTCCTGTAAATTGTGATTATCATATCCACCCTCCTGTCTCTCCAATATTTTGGGTAACAGTTTTCCCTGTGACTGCATTCCTCTGATGGGTATAAGAAGAGTTCATGATTCTTCAGTCTATTCAACTTTTTTACTTGTTGTGATGAAATGGTGACTCGTAAGCTCCTTGACTGTCAAACTGGGAACCAGAAGTCCCCCAAACAACTCTATCCTCATATTAATAGTTCTTAGGTTTATATAAATAAGTATAACTTAGTGTAATGGAATTGACTTAGTAAATATGCAACTCAAATCATGAGCATGAAGATATATGAGTATATTAGAAACAGACCCAAACTCCAGAAAAATAATTTAGCAATGAGGGGATAGCCAACCTATATGATGCAGAGTTCAAAACACTGGTAATCAGGATGCTCACAGAAATTATTGAGTTCAGTCAAAAATAGAGAAAGAAGTGAAGGCTATAAAAAGTGAAATAAAGAAAAATATACAGGAAACCAACAGTGAAAGGAAGGAAGTCAGGACTCACATCAAAGATTTGGAATACAAGGAAGAAATAAACATTCAACCAGAATAGAAGGAAGAAATTAAGAATTCAAAAAAATGAGGAGAGGCTTAGGATCCTCTGGGACAAATTTAAATGTCCCAAATCCAAATCATAGGGGTGCCAGAAGAAGAGGAAAAGCAAGGAATTGAAAACTTATTTGAAAAAATAATGAAAGAAAACTTTCCCAATCTGGCAAATGAACTAGACATGAAAGTCCAGGAAGCTCAGAGAGTCCCAAAGAAGTCATATCCAAAGAGAAACATACCTAGACACATAAATTACCCAAGATTAAATGAGAGAATCTTAAAAGCAGCAAGAGAAAAGGAAACAGTTACCTACAAAGGAGTTCCCATAAGACTATCAACTTCCCAATTTATTGATTTCTCAAAAGAAACCTTACAGGCAAGAATAGGCTGGAAAGAAGTTTTCAAAGTCATGAAAAGCAAGGACCTATACCCTAGATTACTCTATCCAGCAAAGCTATCATTTGGAATAGAAGGGCAGATAAAGTGTTTCCCGGATAAGGCCAAGTTAAAGGAGTTCATCATCACCAAGCCCTTATATGAAATATTAAAGGGACTCATCTAAGAAAAAAGAATATCAAAACTGTGAATAGTAAAATGGACAACAAACTCACAACTATGAACAACTGAGCTCCCCCAAAACAAAAACAAACTAAGCAAACCACTAGAACAGGAACAGAATCACAGAAATGGAGATCACATGGAGGGTTATCAGTGGGGAGGGGGAGGAGGGAGAATGGGTGGAAATGTACAGGAAATAAGAAGCATAATTGGTAGGTGCAAAACAGATGGGGGGGATGGTTAAGAATAGTATAGGAAATGGAGAGGCCAAAGAACTTATACATACAACCAGTGGACATACAAGGGGTAAGGGGAGTGCTAGAGAGAGGCTGGTGCAAGGCAGAGGGGGAGAAAGGGGAAAAAACAGGACAACTGTAATAGCATAATCAATAAAATATACAAAAAAAGATACTGGACTATAGTTGAGCATGTTCAATGTACTATGGCAATTAGTCAATATATTTTTACAGAAGGAATAGTGAGAATTGATCAACTTAGCAAGTTGGTTAAATGGAGACCAATTAAGAGAACTTCTAAATATGTTCATGTGGCTGAACAGTAATCTATTCTATTATCCCTTCAAAAATAACCATAAAATCAAGAAAGAAACACTATATACTGATACTAGCAAAATAAATGAACAAATGAATGAACACACAAATATTCAAATGAACACATAAGGAAAGTAAAGAATTCAGACCACAGATTAATTATCCATGAAAGCAGTAGAAAATGCCAATAATTTTCTTCTTAACACTAAGAAAACAAATTACAAAGAGCTAAAATTGTATTATATAAGATGAAAGATAGAAAAAAATTAAAGTTATCTAGATTTGGGAGTGGGGAGTAATAGTGATAAAATAAAAACCAGAAATGAGTGCCCTATTAAAATAGGCATATGGAAGGCATGATGGAAACCTCCTCCCACCCACACAATACAAGACACATATATAAGAGGAAAAGTGAAATAAATAATCCATTATATACATAATTAGCATTTCTGAAGAAGAGACTGTTACAATAGAAAAAATTCAAAGATATAATAAAATTATTAAAATGAGAAAGGATGTACTTCTAAAAAGTGAAAGGACATGTATTTTATGAACAGCTGATATAAAGCAATATTTTATACTGGAAACTATTGCAGTTCAGAGTCAGAGTGATCTCGGCTTTTCTCTTCTGATTTTCCATATTCATAATAGATATGAAAAAATCTTCAAATATGTTAAGATGCCTATAAGAAACTATTATTGGCAAAGCAATTCTAACTGTTGATTAGACCAAAAGATAGATATACAGGGTCCAGCAGAAGTAAGGCCTGCTTGAGTGTGGTTGGTAGGGTCATAATACAGTGTAATAATTTATAGTTTTAATTTGAACATTTCACCTAAAATGTCATATGGTGTGCTTGAGTGTGATATTGTTATGTTTTTACATCACATAATAATTACATGCCTATGATTTTGTGGTTTAAAAAGGGTGCATTGTTTGCACTAGACCCTGTAGCAGCTTCTTTCCAACTCCAGGATTCTGTAAATCTTAGTCTGTGTCATCCTTCTTATAGGGCTCAAATGAAAACAATTTCAGAAACCAAATGTAACAGTTGTATATTTATATTTAATTCATTCATATAATGTACTAAAGTCAACTAGTTAATTCTAATTATGACTTCTATAGAAGTTGATCTTTCAAGTAAATAATAACATCTTTTTTTGTTGTTGTTCAAGTACAATTGTCTCCATTTCCCCCACCCCCCACCACTTATCTTCGTATACTGTAGCAAACACTTGGCAAATGAATCTGCTGGTATAACATTACTTTTCTGTATCTGCCTAAAATGAATTTTATTAAATACCAGGAGTAGTGGTTTAACCAGTATGCCTTTTCAAATATTCATGAGTCATGCAGTTTGTTAAAATGCCCCAAGAAACGTGTACCAATTCTGTGACATTTTCATACAATATTTTTGGTAAATTGGAGGATATCAGAGATTTGCTGCACATTTGTCTATTTTTTTTAAGAAGGATGGCATAGCAAAAAAAAATAAACATATGTTTTATCAAAGAGAAATATATGTGTGATATATTCTCCTGCTTGGGGTTAAGTGGAAGTCAGTAAGAAGATAATAGACAAATAGTAGTTCTCCACTGTCTTTTCAGGAATGTGTATAAGGGCAACTTTGGGATAGTTATAAAGAATATATGTGTTGCCCTGGCTGGTGTAGCTCAGTGGATTGAGCACGGGCCTGCAAACCAAAGGGTCATGGGTCAATTCCCAGTCAGGCCACATGCCTGGGCTGTGGGCCAGGTCACCAGTAGGGGTTATATGAGAGACAACCACACATTGATGTTTCTCTCCTTCTCTTTCTCCCTCCCTTCCTAGCTTTTTAAAAAAAGAATATATGTGTTTGCACTAGAGACATCTGCAGTATGGCTGGGGTGGTTTCCACTAACAAATCTGTTTTTAAAAATACACTTTTCCAAAAATAAAAAGTGATATAAAAATGTCTAATACATATAGCATCCACCCTTTATATCAAAAGGCACAAGAAAGTGGGACAGTGTTTTCTTATCTTTGTTTTCATATAGGATTTGGTAGAGGATCTTGCACATTGGCCTACAGTAAGTGGTGAAAGTTAAGTGAATGATTATGTGTTCAAACACTAATTCCTGCAAGAAAAATGCATAGTCTATTCATTTAGGATAGGATGAACCCAGAAACCATCTACGCTTTTCACAGGTGATAAGTGTAATGCATTTCCTGAGAGTCAGGTGAAGGAAGATTAAAAGCCCATGATTACATCCTCATTACTCTATCTCTTACCCTATTTTTTGGTGACAGCATACTAAGACCACTTGAAGCTCTAAAAGCTCTGACTGCTTAGACTTGCCAGTTTGCCAGGCAGACCTAGTCCGACCTTGTGCATCAGAGAATCTGAATCCTTAGGAAATTCTTCCTAATATGTCCACTAAAGTTTTTGATTCAGGCAGCCCCCCTCTTCAAATACTACATTCCTTAGAAACGAAGTATGAGAATGTACCAGTTTGCTTTCCCACTCCTGCTTTATAATATGCACACCTTCTATTCCATTGTTTCTTAGCAAATTTCTACCTCAAACATTCCAGACAAATTGATTTGTTAAAAAATGCTGCAGAATGACTTTCTACTTTATGCTCACTCTCAAGAGGATTTCCCTTCATTCTAATGTAAAGTGCCCTTTTTTACCATTTGATAGTGACAGAAAATTGGACCAAATAACTGCAAGTACATCTCAACTCCAAGACCTCAAAATTTATAGTATTTTCTGTATACAGTATAACTTCTAAAATAGGTACTTTTATTTTCCCAAATGAGCCAGATTCTTTCAATGATTTCTGGGATTAAATGTGGAGTCCAGAGGGAGCTCTAAGTCTGTGAGGCTCTGTGTATATACTTGTTTATTCTTTAACTTTAGAAAACCATTCTACATGCCTTGTCAACTAAGCCAAGCTAAAGTTATTTTCCTTAAAATGTACATATAACTACCAAGTTCATTGTTATTTTATAATTATTACTTATTAGAAAAGTCCCCAGTTTAATCATTTAATTTTATATTATTTATTACAGGAACATATAAGAGAAAATGCTAGTAATTGCCTGAATAATGAACCTAACTTTTTAAAAAGGCATTCATGTGATGATGATAAGGTAATGACAATTATTTGTAGTTTATATCTCATTCAAATTTGACTTCATAGAAGCTTATATATTTTTGTACCCCTGTTAGATAATTATATTAACTATATTAATAACAGATTCCTTTGGTTCTAACCAGACAATTCCTACTGATCTATTAAGTTATACTGTAGTCTTCTGTGCTGATTTTATATTTATTTATTTAATCATTTCATGTTCACTTATAAAATGCTAGAAGAATTGCTGAATTCAAAGACACATCTGTTTTATATGAAATCTTCATGCAGTAAAAAGCTTGTTAGAGTGATTACACACATGAATATAAGTCATGGGCATAATTTAGTTGTAGGCATTTAGAAAATTTTTTCATTATTTTCTAATCTTCACATCACTACTACTTGTACTTGGTATAATAATACAATCTACAAAGCTTTTAACAAAAATTGGTATGATTTCTTTCAACAAAAGCCAGTGTAGTAATAAATAGTTTTTTTAAAAGACTCATAATAGCTGAGTTAACCTCATGGCATCTAATAGTTTATATCTATGTTATTTTTTAAAATTTCCATAATTAAATTAAATGTCTGAAAAACTTGTTTTAGGTTAATATGACCCTTTATTTTCCTGTTACCAGCTATTCATCCATAGCTAAAAGGTGAAAGCATAACAGTAAGAAAAGCCACACATACCTTTCATTGTTGTCGCTTCCAGAAGACCTCCCTTTTCATTGTTTAAAATTAAATTTGTTATGTGTTCACCCACAAGTGATAAGATCACACATACATAACACGGAAAGAGAGTTTAAAAAGCCAGCTAATCATTAAACCAAGTTCTAGGCTCTTCAGGCTGTCACCTCAGCAGTTTCAGTCTAGTTACTTGTCAGTCATGTGATTAACTGAATAGAAATCTGGGTGGAGGTAGGGCATTATTTAGAAATAGGGTTCTGGCTTTAGGATTCTTAAGAATGCTTATCATTTTTTAATATTTTATTTGAATCACAGCCCTTCTGGTTTTTTTCTGTAATAGGAAGCTACGTTTTTAAAAACTGCTGCTCGCAAGTTGAAGCAATTTGTTAAAATGAATATCCATGAGGATTTCAAGCACCACTTATCAGTAGTTTCACAGGGCACATTAAAACTGTTGAACTGCACCAGGAAGGTAAGCTGAGGACTGTTTACTTTGAACAAAAATACAAACTATTCCCATGGTAGGATATTATTGTTCTCTGGTGATCCATTATCATGGAATTCTAAGTGCTTATTATAACAAAGTTTATATACATTTACTCAACTCTGGAAGAGAACAATCTCAACTTGGAAAGTACCTGTTTATCTCTTGGCTAGAGCGAATCAGTAGATTTTAAAAGGGGAATAAAATGCATGCTTCACTGCCATAATAACTTTCAAGGAGGCTAGTGGGATGAGTTAGGTGGGGAAAGGTAAATTTTTATCTTTAAAACTTATTAATAATTTTAATCCTGAATGTATAAATTTATAAAAACATAGTCAATAGAATTGGTAATAAATGTGTTTAACAAATACCTTTCTATGCTAATACTAGGTGTGTATATATATATATATGTATACATATGTATTTATGTATATATATATACATACACACACACATATATATATATACCCAGCAATTTCCTCTTTCTTTGTTTTAATAATTTTGATAAGTACATGGCTATTTTTTTCCCACTTTCCTGATAGTGGTTGTTAAGCAAGTAAACAAAATTTGGAAGACATTATCTTGAGACTAGACAACAGCTTCTTCATTTATAAAATGGAAGAAGAATATGGTTTCTACATTATAGGATATTAAAGGCTTAAATAGCATAAGTGCTTAGTACTTCATGCAAAGTGCTTAATGTTGAAGATTTCAATAAATGTTTTATTATTACTATTACCCATCATCTTCAGGAATTTTACCAGCTGCCACACAAAGCCAAAAGATTTCTTATGATTGTTTTTTAGAAATTTTTTAAAAATTATGATGGAAAAAGGATTGTATATTATTTTTTAATGCTAAAGGTTGCTCACAGAGGGTAAAATGGTGAGACTGTTTTTGAGACTTACTGTCACTAATGATAAAGATGATGTAGGTTGAACCATTCATTTACCGTGCATTCCGTACACGACAATAGTCACCAAATCCTTTTGGTGTCCTGGATTTGCCAAGGTTATTTCCCATTTTGTTCCCATTATGTTAGTCCCTTATGTGTTATTTCTATGCTTTCTATAAATCTGATCTGTCCTGATCTCCACATTTGTCAAAGCCAAGCTCAAGATTCATGAAGTCTTCATAGTCTAGCCTACCAGCTCTTAATCCTTCCTCATAGTGATTTCAAACTACTCTTTAATGCAGGAATGGCCAATAGATTCTATGTTGCTTACACATCCAATTGGTTGGTAGTGACTGTTGGAAACACTGAGTTGAGTATAGCCTCATGTCAGGGCTTAACTGAAAAACTGCAGAACAAACTAATAATATCACCTCTTGACCAAGGGAGGGGTAAGGGTTATGGGTATATTATTTACTTCCAGTTCCTTGTCTCATGTGTTTAGCTTTGCATGGATCACTGTGTTCCAAAATCAACTATCAAGAATGAAAACATAAATAATTTATTCTTGAAAGCAAATAAAATTATGTTACAAAACTAATCTAATACAGTCCATTTTTCTTAAAATAAGATGAGATAGTAAAGATAGTCAGCTACATTGAATTTCTTTGTGAGTCAGGCCTGTTATAAGCACTTCCTATTGTTTATTTCATTTTGCTTCTGATGGGTAAAGCATAATAATATTTATGGTTAGGATTTAACAATTTAATGATTATTGTCATGTTGATTAAAATTCTAGTTTTGTCTCTGTTACTGTACCCTTCTATATTAGTTTTTCATACCTCACAGCCATTAACACAGTGCTGGGCATACTTGTAAACTTGTGGATCCAGGGTATTCAGAAGACTAACAACTTCTCTTGCTTCTGCCTTTTTTTCATGTAGGCAGACCTCAGAGACAGTGGGGGTTTGGTTCCAGACTGCCACAATAAAGCGAGTCACACAATTATTTTTATTTTTTCTAGTGTATATGAAAGTTCCGTTTACAGTATACAGTAGACTATTAAGTGTGCAATGGCATTATGCCTAAAAATATACATCCCTTAATTTTAAAATACTTTATTGTTAAAAAATGTTAATTATCATCTGAGCCTTCAGTGAATCATCATAATACTTTTGCTTGTGGGGGGTCCTATCTTGATGTTGATGACTCCTGACTGAACAAGGGTGGTTACTGAAGGCTGGGGAGGCTGTGGCGGCCATGGCAATTTCTTAAGATAAGGCAATGATGTCTGCCACATTGACTGACTCTTTCTTTTATGAATGATTCCTCTGTTGCATGTGATATTGTTTGAAAGCATTTACCCACAGTAAACTTTTCAAAATTGGAATCAATCTTTTCAAAACTGGCTTTATTAACTGAGTTTATGTAATATTATAAATCCTTTGTTGACATTTCAGCATCTTCCCCAGGGTAGATTTCATTACTACTTATCTACAGGAAGCAACTCCTCACCCATTCAAATTTTATTGTAAGATTGCAGCACCTTAGTCACAACTTCAGGATCTCCTTTAGATTCCAGTTCTCTTGCCATTTCTACCACATCTGCAGTTAATTTGTCCACTGAAATCTTGAACCCTTCAAAGTCATCCATGAGGGTTGGAATCAACCACTTCCAAACTCCTATTAATGTTGATATTTTGACCTGTTCCCATGAATAACAAATGTTCTTACTGGCCTCTGGAATGGTGAATCTCCTTCAGGTTTTCAATTTATTTTGCCTAGATCCATCAGAGGAATCACTATCTATGAACCTATAGCCTTTTGACATGTATTTCTTTAAAAAATAAGACTTGCAAATTGAAATTACTCCTTGTTCTATGGACTGCAGAGTGCAAGTTGTGTTAACAGGTATGAAAACAAATTAATCTTGTTGTCCACCTCCATCAGAGCTCTTGAGTGACCAGGTACATTGTCAAAGAGCAGTAATATTTCAAAAGGAATCTTTTTTTTTCTGAGCAGTAAGTCTTAACAATGGGCCTTATATATTTGGCAAACCATGTTGTAACAGATGTGCTATGATCCAGGCTTTTTTGTCCATTTATAGAGACAGGCAAAGAGATTTAGCATAATTCTTAAGGGACCTAGGGTTTTCAGAATGGAAATTGGGTACTGGCTTCAACTTAAAGTTACCAGATGCATTAGCCCCTAATAAGAAAGTCAGCCTGTCTTTTGAAGCTCTGAAACCAGGCATTGACTTCTCCTGTCTAGTGATGAAAGTTGTAGATGGTATTTTCCAATATAAGTCTGTTGTATCTACATCGAAAACCTGTTTTTCAGTGTAGGTACCTTCATTATCTGAGCTAGTTCTGGATAACTTGTTACAGCTTCTACCTCAGCACTTGCTGCTTCACTTTGTACTTCTGTGTTAAGGAGAGGACTTCTTTCTTTAAACCTTATGAACCAAACTCTCCTAGCTTCAACTTTCCCTTCTGCTGCCTCCTCACCTCTCTCAGACTTCATTGAATTGAAGAGTTAAGGCCTTGCTCATGATTAGGCATTAGCTTAAGGAAATTTTGTGGCTTATTTGACCTTCTATTCAAGCCACAAAAACTTTCTTCATATCAGCAATAAGGCTGTTTTGCTTTCTTATCATTCGTATGTTCCCTGAAGTGGCCTTTTTAATTTCCTTTAAGGATGTTTCCTTTGCTTTCACAATATGGTTAACTTTTGTGCAAGAGGCCTGGCTTTCAGTTCATCTTGGCTTTCAACACGCCTTCCTCACTAAGCTTACTCCTTTGTGTCTTTTAACTTAGAGTGAGAGAAGTGCAAATCCTCCTTTCACTTGAACACTCAGAGGCCACTGTTGGGCTATGGCCTAAATCAGTATTAATGAGTCACAGGAAATCGGGAGGCCCAAGGAAAGGGAGTGAGACAGAGGAATCGCTGGTCTGGAGCAGTGAGAACATACACAACATGTATCAGTTAAGTTCACCATCTTATATGGGTGCAGTTTGCAGCACCCCAAAACAATTGCAATAATAACATGAAAGATCACTGATCACAGATCATCGTAACAGATATAATAATAATGGCAAAGTTTTAAATATTGAGAGAATTACCAAATTGTGACACAGAGACACAAAGCTGACTAATGGAAAAATGGCACCAATAGACTTGCTCAGTGCAGGGTTACCACAAATCTTCAATTTGTAAAATAAAGCAGTTTGTGAAGCACAATAAAATTAAACAAAATAAAATAAGGTATGCTTGTATTCTATTTCTAAATGAAATTAGTATTCTGCCATACCAACAATAAATAATTTAAAGTAGATCCTCAAAAAGATTAAATGAGTTGAGAGTAATACATGAAAATTAGCAATTACATTAATGGGAGAAGAGATAAAAATTAATATTAAATGTTGTAAATGTCATTTTGTTTTTAAGGATAAAGAAAAAAAACAACCTTCCTTGGGTGAAGCTCAGCCCACTAAAAATTTGGTGAGAATAATTGTATAATTTCCTTTCTTCATTAGCTTTTTACTTACCTTAATTTCTTCATTTTCTCTTTGAATTTTCTTTTTTATGGTTGGTGTTGAAAGTATTCATTATAATGTTAATAAAAAAAGTAAGAAGTTACTTCTTAGAAATTGGAGTCCTTTAAACTTTTTCTTAAAAAAAAACCCACTATTTTAAAATACAAGCAGCTAGGGGAAATATCAAAGCATTGATTTTTTAAAAAGCAACAAAATTGAGACATGACTACTTAATAGGCAAAAGACATGAGCAAACTATATAAGAAAATGTAAACCAGAAAATAAGCATGTGAAGAAAGGAGCCATCCTTGTTTGTTAATAAAGAAATACAAATTAAAAATGAATAATCCACTTTATACCTATTTTATCAGTATAGAGTATACAACATATATATGTGAATACTCCATGTCATCTATTTATATTAAATATTTATACTAGTAAATATTGTGTATTATATAGCAACATAAAAATATGAATGAAAATCTCATGATAATATTAAATATTAATGATATAAATATCAACTAGGAAAGGACATGTAGATATAAACACCCCTGGTTCATAAGAGTGATGGGTTTTTCTTTTATATTTTCATTTTTATTATTGTCATTTGACCAATAGACACATGGGGAACATGAAAATTCCTTACTCCTCTTAGAGAAGCAGAATGAGCTTGCTCACCCTTGGACTCAGGGAACCTAGGAATTCCACCTAAAGTGGCAGACTTGAATTGAATACATGAGCAATATAAATACAACAATGGCTTCTAAGAACATTTGGGTGGTGGGCACACAATGTAATATGCAGATCATGTGTCATAGAAATAAATGTACACTTGAAACATATATAATCCTATTAATCAATGTCACACCAATAAATTTAATAAAAAAGAAAAGAAAAGAAATAAAGAGCATGAAAATAAAAATAGAAATAAAATTTGGAAGGATAAAAAAGGGAGCTAATATCTGTCTTCTCAGGATTACAGAAATAAAATCATGGTTCTTTGTATTTGTCTTTTTAATGAATGTTCAATCTTGGTCTCTGAGGAAAAGTCATGAAATTTTCACATCTATGTATTTCAAATCTGTTAAGTCACATAAACCTCAATTTATTCTTTTAAAATATGTCCTGGGACCCTCATTAAGAAGTCTATAGATTCTTCTTCATATTTACCTTTGATATCTGTTGTCTAATCTTTCAAATGAATTATTTAAAGGCCAAAAGTTAATCTGTTACTGAATAAATACCTAAAAGAGATCTGAACCTGTGACTTAAAATAGAATAGCTGAGCTCAAGACCCAGTCATCATACTTGACATATGACCATGGCAGCTTATGTATCCTCTCTGCAGCTCAGTTTTCTCATCTATGAAAGGAGGTGAAATCAGCAATACCTTAGAGAAGTAGATAAAATGAAATTATGTATGTGAAGCACTGAGCACAATGCCAACCTAAAAAACACCCAATTATTGGATGTACTAGTTCCACTTCTCAGGGGCTTTGAGGAGTATAACCAAGTATACGCAATACTACTCCCCTGTATGTCTCTTCCATGTGAGATATCTCTTGCTCCATTTTCTGTAGGTTGTACAGGTAATAGTTTTTAAGATTTTCATCAGGAAATGAGGCAGGTGTCCTCCATACTGTAGTGCAGACCAGACTGTTGGGGTGGACCTCAGGGCACAAGCTCCATCAAGTAGATCCTAATTAATAATCTTTGTCAAAATACTCTGCATATTTTCAGTGTTAACTATTCCTTCCACAAAAAAATACATTTGTGCATATTACAAAACTTTTTTGAGTAATTTACAAGTATTGTTGTCGCAAAGTTGAAACAACATTCTTGTCTCACTGTTGCAGCCACCCAACACAGCTCTTTAATGAATTCTAGATCTTAAACCACAACAACCACAACTACAGTTAGCAATCATAGCTTAAAATAATCGCCCTGGCTGGCGTAGCTCAGTGGATAGAGCGCAGGCTGCAAACCAAAGTGTCACAGGTTTGATTCCCAGCCAGGGCACATGCCAGGGTTGCAGGCCATAACCCCTAGCAACCGCACATTGATGTTTCTCTCTATCTCCCTCCCTTCCCTCTCTAAAAATAAATAAATAAAATCTTTAAAAAAATATCATGCAAGATTCTCCTTTTCCATGACACTAAATTTTCAGTAGAACCTACATGATGAGAATTAAAGAAATGCATAGTTGGAAATGTGTATATTTATAAATGTGAACTTAAAACTTTTTTTATGTATTTCTGTAGGAAGAGAAAAAATCTTTAAGGGAACAGAAAAGACAGGATGAAATGTGTTTCCTAAAGATACTACTAGAAAAGATAAAAACTTGTTGGAATAAAATTTTGAGAGGCACTAAAGAACATTGAAAAGTACAGTGTGACAATATAAAAATGTGTGAACTTTAGTTGTGTCCTTCAAGAACTGATCTCCTCATGCAATTTTTTTGGAGAAGAATGCCTTCTAGAAGTTATTGAATTTGTCCTGGTAAGAATGGGTTAGGGCAGTTGAGAAATACGTACTGTGGTACTTGAAGATGGACTTAAACAATGGAAACTGAATGCTGCAATCAATGAACTATTTCATATGTATGTGGACATAGGTCAGCTAGTGTTAATTTTGTGCTGATTTTTGTAAGATGTAAGGTATTAGCTACAATATTATTTAGACCTGTTGAAATTTCAAAAGAAATTAAAATCTGTGATGTATGTAAAGGTTACAAGACTTAAAAATTAACATTGCTTTATTACTAAAATATTATATGGCCTCCAATGTATCAGTATACTGCAGTAAGTGTGGAAATTGTTGTCATCTGTGCTGAAAATGTTTCAGAGTTAATAGTGAGCTATGGATAATGCCCATGCAAACATGTCATTTATCTTACTTAAAGCAGCAACATAAAAGAGTACAAGATGTTTAAGAGAGGTATTAAGACATGTAATTAAATATGAATGTATTGCACAGTGCCTGTAGTAAATGGCATAGCAAATTCTTTAAAATTAAAATAAAAAATACTTTCACAAAATAGGAAGTCATCTGTTCTAAGGATGCTAAAACATAGTACTGAGTTTCTTCTGTCATTTACGTGTAATAAAACATGTCTAAATGAGCTTTCAATTTGGGAAGTGTATTTTTAAGAGAATAATATATGTTTGCCTTTTAATTAATAGTATGTGTATATTTAATTTTAACAGTATATCTGTATATTAAACTATTTTCATACAGTATTACAAACAAATTGCTTACTTTGGACAACATTTCTTTCCACAACATTTCTCCTTTGATAATAAATGACCTATGTATTAACACTGTCAGATTCCCTTATTCACAACAGGATTTTTTTCTCAGTTTTATTGGGAAATAATTGACATACATCATTGTGTACATTCAAGGCATATCGTATGATGGTCTGATTTACATATATTGTGAAATGATTAACACATTAGGTTTAGCTAACATCCATCTTCTCATATAATAAAAAAAAGGAAAAATATTTTCTCCTTGTGATGAGAACTTACAGGATTTACTCTGAACAACTCTCTTATGTCGTATACAGCTACATATGTTAGCTATATTCATCATCTTATACATTATAGCCCTAGTACTTAGTTACCTCGTAACTGGAAGCTTGTACCTTTTGACCACCTGCCTTCAATTACCACCTCCTGCTACCCTCTATGTCTAGCAACCTGTCTGATTTCTTTTTACATGAGCTTTTATTTTTAGTTTCTACATATGAGATCATATGGTTGTCATTCTCTGTCTGATTCATTTTACCTAACATAATGCTTTCAAAGTCTATCCATGTTGTCACAAATGGTAGAATTTCCTCATTTTTATGGCTGAATTTTATATAAATATATAAATATATGTATCTCATATATACACACATATATGGTATATATGTATATACACATATGTATACCTATATACACATACATCTATATACTGTCCAGAAAAAGTCCAGTCATGGTTAATGTAATGGGAAAAGTTTGAGTGACAAGGAGAGTGAACTGGAATGTGTGTGTGTGGACAATGATGACTTCACTGTACTAATTAGTGGGGGCGGTAGATGCTGCTGAGTGAGCATGTGTATGGTGTGGCCATTGTATTCAATATGACTGAGAGAATAGAGCAATGTATCTGCATCAAATTTTGCATTAAGCTTGAACATTTCTCTGTGGAAACTATTCAGATGATCCAGAAGGACACAGCTGTGGGTAACTGGTGATTGGCAGCTTCATCACAACAATGTACCTGCTCATGCATCATGTCTCATGCACAGTTTTTAGGCGAAACATCAGGTCCTCAGAAACATCTGAGGGTGGCTCAGCCCTCCTATAGCCCAGATTTGGTGCCCTGTGACTTCTTGGCTTTTCCTCAAATTAAAATCACCTTTGAAAGGGAAGAGATTCAGAGAACTGTGTAAAGTCTAAGGTGCCTACTTTGAAGGGGACTGAGGTGTCATGGTCCTATGTACAATGTTTCTTGTATCTTATCTTTTCAATAAATGTCTCTGTTTTTAATATTACATGGCTGGATACCTTCTGGATATATATATATAATCTTACAACTTCATCTATTCATTGGTTAACACTTAGATTTTTCCCATGTTTTGGCTATTGTGAATAATGCTACTATGATAGAGGATGCAGCTATCTTTTGGAGTTACTGTTTCTGTTTTAACATATTTCCAAAAGTGGAATTTCTGCATCATATGGTAGTTGTTTTTAATTTTTTAAGGCTCCTCTATAGTGGCTGAACCAAATTACATCCCCAGCAACAGAGCGCAAGTGTTCCCTTTTCCCCACATCCTAGCCAGCATTTATTACCTCTTGTCTTTTTGATGATGGCCATTCTAATAGGCATGAGGTGATATCGTCTCACGGTTTAAATTTGCACTTTCCTAATGACTAGTGACCCGACAGGATTTTTTAAGATTTTTAATGTTGCCCCACTATTTGATCTCTTTTTTTACTGAGTATATAACCTTTAATACCATATTGCCAAAAATGTATGAGACCAATAACTGTACTATTGTGTTTTGCATAAATATTTTTTCACACTTCAGATTATTCCTCCAAGAATTAATTTTATAAATAAAATTACTAGGTTATGAAACATGAATATTTAAAGGCTTTTAAATTAAATGATTAAATTAATTAAAAGGCTTTTAATTTTAAATACTTTTTATAGTTACCTTATAAAAAGTATTATCAATTTATATTTCCACTGTGAGTGGATAAGGTCTTTCATCATCATGCCCCATGGAAGTTTTCAGTTTTATTATAATTTAAGGTTACTGATTTGATGAATCAAATCAACATTTCACTGTTGAGTGTACTCAGCACTACCAGCACCCTCCTCCTATTCCCAGCCTAATTGTTGCAAATTCAAAATTGTATAGAAGCTGAGGTGCTTGGACAAAGAGAAAAAAAAAAAAACAAAGTAAAAGTGAAGAGTTATGTAAGATAACACTGAATGGAGGGAAATATCAGTAACTTTCACACATCGCTTTCTCTCGGTCATCTGGATGGTGCAAGTTGCCCACATTTTACAGCTCAGGCGGACCCACTACGCACACATCATTCCCACGGCCACTAGCCTTTCCGTCCAAAAGGTAAATGCAGCTCCCATACACCCCAGGCTTCCTCCTAAGCATTGGGACAGGGAAGAAAAATAGAAAATAAGGAATGGCCTGCTGTTTAACCTGTGATAAGAAGCTTCATTTTCAACCTTCTGCATCATTTTGTTGGTAACTTTATAATAAAGTTCTGTTAAATCCTTTTTGTCCTAAGTTGTAATTGCTTACACATCAGCTTCTTCAAATAAATTACTGAATATATCAACTTCACAGCAAAAACTTGACATATTATTTCTCTTGATTTTTAAGACTTCACACATGAAGACCACATAAAGGATATTTAAAATGTTTATAAATATAAAGCTTTAGCTTTGTGCATGTTAGCATTATTTAGTCTAAGTGATTTATTTAACTCCTGTTTAAATAGATGTCACTCTCACATTGTCATGTTGTTAGGCTAGATGGCTGAAAAAAGTCTTATGTTGAAGGAGATTATAACTGTTGTACAACTAAAACAAAATATTAAAATAACAGAGCAGGGAGTATTTGGTAATGTGCATAAGTAATATGTTAGAGATGTATAGTTGATAACAAAATACCATGAGGTAAATAGTAAATACTTCTATCAATTGTAAGCACACTGGTGCCCAAAATGAGTTAGACTAGGTTTCTGAGAACCAACATATGGATTGTAAAATCAGAACAAAACAAAAGCAACCTAGCTCTTATAAAGCTCTGTAATTTCATGTTTTTAAAAAATTCATACCTATATTTCTGAGAGGCCTTTAAAATAACAACTACAGGGCTGGTAATATTATCCAAAACACCCCCTAGTGGCAAAAAGAGCAAGTCACATACACACTTTTACATGTGGTCAGTGAGTATCCTGACCATAACAATTAACTGAAGAAATTTTAAATGAGACTAAAAATGAGTGTGGCTATCACTAACTTCATTTTAATGATTATACTGCTCTTTAAATAATGTAGTCAGTTGGAAAATTCAATCTATTTCATTACTAAAAATATACTTACCATATAAAATACTTATTATACCTGGAAAGCAAATACATACAAGAGTCCTGCTCTTTGTAGCTGTGTACCTCTGTACAGGGTGGTGTCAGGCCAAACAGCTGGGGAACGGAGTAGGGGAGCTCAGAAGAGGCTTGTCCTCCTTGCAAAGGGAGGAGCCGCTGGTGAAGGGAGATTGCCTCAGGGAACTGTAAACAAGCCAGAGTGTGTTGTTCTGGCAACCGAGCAGCAATGCCAGTAGAAAGTACAGAGAAGGGGGCCCCTAGGAAAAAAAAACAACAACAAAAAAACAAAAAACAACAACAAAAAAACCCGGAGCTGGGGCTTGATAGTCTTCCCACAACTTGGAGCTACTGTAAACATTCAACACTGCTTGTTGACACTGGCTGCACAGCACCTGTGTGAGATGGGGGGCGAATGTCCTGCCCTGGGATGGGACCCATGCAGGACTGGAGACTGCCCCCTTGCAGAACATGGCACTGGAAGAGGGGCAAAGGTGAAAGTGATCAACATTAGCACACATTGGTTGAAAAGTTGGACACTCCCACTGGCTTGTGGCAACAGGTGGGTTATGGGGGACTTTAAAACAGAATGCGGACAGAGGCTCAACTTCTGCTTTTCCTTTCACTGAGTCTGGAAGCGGCACATGGAGGAGTGAACTGGGAACATTTCTCAGCCCCACGGGTGCAAGCAGCCTTGGGGGCCTGGACCACATGAATAGAGGTTTCCCTGCAACCCAGTCTGGGGTAATCTGGCAGTCCCTAGAGGGAAAGCTGGTGGGGAAATGGAGACACTGACCTCATGAGTGCACACCATAGAGAGAGAGGCTGGAGCTGGAGGAGCAGAGACCCCTTTGAGTAACAATCTTGAGCTGCAGATAAGGAATGATGGGGATCTTCTGGGCATGGGTTTGGACATTAAGCTTTTGGGGAACAAGGGAATTTTTGTACTTTGAGGAAGGGGAGGGCTGGGAGCAGCAATGCTCCCAGGCCCCTCCAATGGGGAACCCTGTTAATAAAAACTTCTTTCCTTCCCCCAAAGTATTTGTGTTATGTGTGAACATAGTGGCAAGCTGCTGGACCCCAGGCTGCCCAGTTACACCTCTTCCTGTTATTTTTTTCACTTGCTGAGCTTCTACTCATGGTAGCAGCGTTCACTTCTAGCCTAAGAAACAGTGAGTACAAATATGTCTAATATGTTTTCACTAGAGATAACTCCTGTTTAAAATTTTAAACACGATAGTCTCAACCATTAAGTATTCATCCCAAGTGAATACTTTTTGCCATTAAATTGTATGTTACCTAATTAGAAACACCCATAATGTTTCTTATCAACCTTGACTTCACTGTTTTCAATTGCTAAATTTTATTGGCTATGAAATGTTTCTATGCCTTAAAAATCTGTGACAAAACATATTTATAACACTCTGAGGTCAAAAACACTTCAATAAAATAGTAAGAATTTCTTTGACAGCTGATGACATACACAAAAAAACCTCTCAATTAAAAGCTAGTATAATTTAAAAATACATTTTGATTTGAAACATTTTCTTTATAGTTCAGTATATTCCTACCTATGTTTGGCTAAAAGATGACATCAATGAAAACCAACTGGCAATTTTTTTCTTCATGTCTTTATTGAATATGCTCAAAAATGAAAACTTATTTGTAATAAAAAACCAGTGAACAGGAGACAACAGTTATAATAATCTTGCCTTTTCAAGCTAATAACTTTCAGGATAATATAGAAGCAATTTTTACATTTTAATTTAAGCTTACAATCTCTTAAATTCTACCACACTGGAAAAAACTGGTAAAAATAAATAAAAGTGATGCTTAGATCTAGAAAAATTTCTTAAAAACCAAACTATTGCACAACAAATCAATGTGAGAATGATATATGCAAGTAATATAAAAATGCATTTAAATGCATTGTCATAACATGTTTCATAATTCATGAATATATTTCACTTACTATTTATAATAATCTCTATGCTCTGAGATTGGATATTTTACAAATTTATTTTCCATGTTGTACAATATAACATTTACTTGCTACTATAAAATTCAGTGAGAAATAAAAATGTACCACTTTACTTGGGCCCATGTTTCTACTCTTTTCTTGGGCAGACAAAAAATTATGTGATACCATATTATGTCATTCATATATGAAATCTAATGAACAAAATAAACAAAATAGAAATAGACTCATAGATAGAAAACATGTCAGAGGTAACAGGGTGAAAAAGTGAAGAGATTAAAAGAAAAAAAAACACATCATAAACACAGACTGACAGCAAGGAGGGTGGGTGGAGGTGGAAGAGGGTAAAAGGCAGAGATAAATCATATGGTGGTTGAGGGAGACTTGACTTGGGGTGATGAACATACCATACAATATACAGATAACATTTTATAGATTTGTACACCTGAAACATATATAATTTTATTAACCAATGTCACCCCAATAAATTCAATAAAAATACTTGAAAGGAAACAGAGCCCAGTTCTAGATAAAACAAGAATTGAAGTTCTTCATATGATTTATAACATCAGGACAGAAGAACATAAATTATTGAAATGGAAATCTAATTGCACATTATCCTCCTAGATTTATTACAGCTAATCTAGTTGGTGAACTCTTCTGACCAATATGACCGAATGAAGACAACCAGAGCAAGTTAATAAAAAGTCAGGATAGAAACTATAATGTAAGTAAAATGATAATTCCCATTACATTTTCTATTTCTTGTCTGAATGGGAAAAATGAATAAAATTATTAAGTAGAGAATAAATGAATTTAAAAAAATTGTCAGCCACAAATTTCTACATTGATCCTTATAATTAAACAGAATCATAAGCAGCTAGAAATTGCCAGTAAAAGATTTGTTTGTATCTTTCTAATATCAATATGATCAGAGTTGTTAGCTTTCACTCAACAGAAATTACTACTGAATTACTGAATATGCTTATACAAGCAAAGAGATTTACTACTAAATACTATGTTACATTGAGTGTGACAATAATTAAATGGTATATTTTAGCCAAAGTTAGAGAGTATAATTACATTTTTGTAAATGTTTAATTACGAAAGTCAGATGCCCAGTAAAGCAATGCATTTTCAGTGGCTTTTTATTGTTCTGTGAATGGTATTTCAACATGAAAAACTAAAAAGAAAATATAAGTAGGAAAAATTAGATATTCTCTTAACCTACTAATAACTACACCTAACTATACTTGAAGGGGCTAAAATTCAAAACTTTTACCTGTATTCCCTCCACTATTAATTATTCACCAAATTATTATTTATTAGGTGAGGTGGTTGGTTTTAAAATTCATAAAGTAATTTCTCCTATGTTCAGATACATAGAAATGAACATAAAAGATTTTGAAGAAAATTTTTGCAGCTTATATTAATTACATTTTCAAACTTTGTATATGAAGTAAATTAAAACTACTCTTTAGACATGAAGTTATGAAAAAGAAGTGAAATTTGAAGATGCAGCTGGAAATAAAAAGGAATATACTTTCAACTAGTACACAAGTAAAATATTCAGTAACAACACGAATAAATACATTTGTATTTTCAGCCTTGTGTCTCTGGAAAGAAAATTGCATGATTATATTTTCAGAGAGTGGTAAAAATACGTAAATTATATCATTAATCATACACTAAGTAAAGGGTAACACAGAACTTAGGTTTTTTTTTCTTTTTAAAAAATATTTATAAAATTAATTGTTGAAGAACTCTATATCAAAGTGACCCAATTTAACTAAAAATATTCTCTTCAATTCCAAGCATCCTAATCTACCATCATAGATACTACCTGAAAATAGGAACCAATAAGAAAACATTTATTCTGATTTTTTACTCAAAGTAATGATTATCCTAAACTTGAAGGACTAAACACCGTAGTTTGAAAGTTTGTGGAAGAATACTTAATGTGTTTTAACAACCGAAGAATACATAAATTAATGATTCCACTTGAAATTATTTTCTAACATATGAGTGAGTGTTTCCTTGAATGGCATAATTTAGGGTAACAGGAATTTATTATATACAGTATATATACACATATATACACATGTACCCACACACATTACATAGCCAGAGGAATTCTGCTCTAAAAATTCCTGGAAAAAGTGTAACAATTTTAGGACAAAATAACTAGGTGAAGTGCTCTAACAGGAAGCAGCAATAGTCATAAAACTCTGGACTTTGCTCTTTTTCATTTGGGATTTTGTTCACAGAACCATTCTCCGAATGCCACATTCACAGCAGAACTTGGCCCATTCTACAGGGTATTTAGTTCCGCACTCGTGGCAAAATTTTGGTAAGTGTCCAGATGAATTTCCTTCAATGCCTTTAATGTTTCCACCATTGAGTGAGGATACACAGTTTCCATCTGGCCTGGAGAAGTACAGAAAAAAGTTCACATTAGTTGTTTCAACCCCACCCCCCCAATATGTTTAGAAACAGGGCATAATACTAAGCATGACTAAAAGCTTGCTTAATCTCATGTTTAATATTCTTGCAGTTCAGATTAAGAAAAAAAGTCTTTTAGTAAATAATGAAATGCTAAATGTTTTTTTAGCATTATATTTGTTCCTAATGTCTTTACATCTATCCTCCAGTTCACTTCCCTTTCCTTTCACTGTATCTGAACTACAATTTAAATCATCTCTTAAGTCTTTTAGTGTTTTTCCTTATACTGAGTTCTGTTTGGTTCTTTTGCACAGATGTTGAAATACTTGTGACAATATTGTCATTGTTAATGATTCCAATTCCCCCATTTCTTTACATACTTTAAACAGATTCATAAATCGATATTTGATGATTTCAACATCTTAGTTACTGGGTTTTGTTTGTTTGTTTGTTTGCTTGTTTTCAAAACTGGTGACAGATTGCTAGTTTCTTTATATAGTTTGGAATTTCCCTGTGCATCTTTTAGGTCAGAACTATGAGCTCATGTTTGCTTACCCATGAGAACCAGAAAGGGAGCTGCTAAACCAAACTAAGTTATTTTTTCAGTTAAGAATTCCTTAGAATATGCAGATATTATACTCATAAACCCTAAACTCAAGTGAAGGTAACCCTACAATTACGAAAAATCAGTGGGAACTCTCACATTCCTCTGCACCATGGCTGAGACAGACAGGTTTCTTTGGGGTCTCCTCTTTTGGCTGGCAGAATTTTTTTTCCTAATATATCCTTTGAGTATCATGAGAAAAGGTTAACAGAACTTTCTCATTTTTGGTGGACATATGTGACCTTAGGATAACTTTCTGGCTGTTTAATGAAAACCTAATAAAGATGGATGGAATGCCAACTGTTTACCCAGGCAACAATGTTTACATGTTGTCCACTGACAAATTGGACATACCATATGCTCAGGAAAACTTGGAAATCATAGATATGGGATTGTTACAAGAGATATTGTTCCTTTGGGTACATAGAATGTCTAATTAAACTGTCCGTATACCCATATATGAGATCTTGTTCACATCTGAGCTGTCACTCAGTCATTGGCTCAGAGAAGCACCTGAAGCTGCCTTGCTATCATTCCTTATTTCCTGTAATTTATTCTAACGCCAAGTGAACATACTGTCATGTAAGCAGCTCTAGCTGAGCTTAAGAGGCCTCTTGGTGGGCATTTTAAAAGTCCTGGCTTAGAAAAGAGGAATGCAGGGGGGAAGAGAAAGCTGAGTCTCAACTGTTACCCTTTGTATAAATCCTAGAAGTCAACTCCTCCCTCCCATGATGAAATTAAAACCCAAGCCTAAGTGGTGAAGACCAGTCAGAACCTCAATGGAGCTGTAGTATCAGGGTTAATTTACCAGTCTGACCTCCAGTTTCCTTTACATTTATGTCCCTTATTTTTGAGAGCTAAGTACCTTGCTCTTATGGCAACTTTATGTACCTTGCTTAAAACTTTCTGGAACATTTGTGGACTAACTTCACCCCTTTTTTCACTGTTAATTCTTATTGTTCCTCTATTATTCTTTCATTTAAAAAATTATTGTATCTCATCGTACATCATGAATTTATGCACTTTGCCTTAAAACTTTCTGGACTAAGTTGAGATATATATAAAAAATATCTATGACAGGGACAATTTCATTATATGTTTAAAAACAGAGTGAATGTGAAAGTTATACAAATATTGTGAGAGTTTAGAAAGGGAAGTATATGAATAATCACAACCTCGGTAGAGGAGTTTAAAATTTATGAAAATGGTGCTGAAAATTACAATAACGGTGGTTTAAAGAGTCTATTATTCAATGTGTCTATTATTCAATAGTTAAAAACATGGACATAAAAATATATTAATCCAGTGGAACTGAAAAAACTATCCTTGAGCATTTACAACAGTAATTCTAACTACAGAATTAAAAACAAAGACATAAAAAGTTAATCCAGTGGAACCAAACTGTCCTTGAGCATCTGTAAAAGTATTATAATTCTAACTACAAAGTATAGGACTATATTAGTTATGTCCAAAGTACTTCTTTAGTCTACAACTTAAAATCCAGGTTAAATAAGAAACAAAAGAAAAAACAGATTTTCTATCAAAGCCTGATACATATTTTTGCATATGGTCCTTGGAAAACTACATGTATTCATTTTTATTATGGCTATTAAAACATCAGAACTAAACATACCTGACTATGTAGCTCTCACCATATGTTTTTCTTTTGTTTGTAAGAACACCTGATGCAGGATTTCGTGCCAAACTAGGCGGTGTGGAGTTTCGAGGTTTGATATTAGCTCTAGAGAGAGAAAGAAGTAGCAGTGAAAAAGTATTCAATAGTAATCATTTATTTCTTAAATTCCTACTTGTGTGATTAGAAAAATAATTAGAAGCTGTAAAGAGCTAAGTCAAAAGATTAAAATACAAATAATTATTTTAAAACTGAAAACAGTAGTTAAAACTAAGGATAAAGAGAGAAGAGGGAATCTCAGTGGAGAATGGGAAGGCTTTACAGGAACAAATATAAAGCACATGGACAAAAACTAGGGGGGGTGGTAATGGGAGGGAACTGGGGAGGGATGGGTGGGCAGGCTGGAATGGGAACAAAAGGCAGAAAACTGTACTTGAACAATGATTAAAATAAAAAAAATAAAAAATAAAAAAATAAAGATAAAACAAAGCATTTTGCATTTACTATCATTATCCTGATGGTGTATAAACTCAATTAAAATATGTGTATATGCTATACATGAAATATTTAAGTTAATCATTCTGAAAAGCTTCAGAAAGTTTAAAATTCATAGTACCCTCAAAATAAAGATGTGGTTTGTTAAATGCCTACAAATCACTGCTAAATAATATGGTAAGTGTATGCAATGTGGTAAAAAAATTAGCTAATCACTTTAAATACTAGCTAACACTTTAAAGAGTAATAATTCAATTTATGAAAGTCTGTTGTGAGAAACATCAAATCAAATAAATGGGTTAATATAATTTCCCTTTAATACTTTAGTTTCACTAACTGAATGGCCTGGGCTATTGCTCTCACTAGAGGGAAAGTTTTGGCTAGGTTATCACTAATTCCTTTACTGAGACTCAAGAATCAAGGAAAACTAGTTATATGACAGTTAACTGTGAATGTATAGGCTTTGGAGATACAGATGAATCTGCACTCAAATCCCAGCTACTGTGGACCAACTTTGTGACAGTGGTCAACCTCTCTGAGACCAAGCTCACTCATTTATAAAATGGGACCATATTAACTTATAAAGGAAGTTTAAGACATAAACTGCAATTTATATGAACATTCAGCAATGCTGCTGATACTATTATTATTACTATGATTTTGCTACTACTACAAGTTCACATTTATATAATTGTGCTTACTATACTTGGTATAGCTACATTTTTAATTGACTTCATATATAAACATTTAATTTACATAGTAGGTAGAATTAATAACTTCACTTTACAAATGTGGCATGTGAGGTGAAGAGTGGTTAAGTCACTTACCAAGGTGACACAGCCCATATGGTGTTAAACTAGTGGTTAGATGTTCAGTAAAGCATCAGTTCCCTCCCCCTTTTTAGAGATTTACTTGAATCCTTTCATTTCAGAAATAAGCAATGTTATGTAATAAATAAGCTGAATGCTTTTCATATTTCCTTTAAATTGAATGAGCAAAATTCTTTTTTGTCTACTTACACAGCAAAGTTGGAGATAATTTCCTAAAATTTCAAACAGCTACCTTAAAAATAATGTAGGTAATACAATATCTACTATTTCTCAAATACCACTAAATGCCAAATATGATACATATACAACTTTAATCTTCACAAAAATCTCTGAAAGTACTATCTATTCCCATTTTAAACTTGAATAAACATTCATATTCAGAGAGATTAAGTAATTTGCAAAGCTATTACATGGCCAAAGTACTTGAGATTGGATTTGGGTGGGTCGTGTTACAAATCCTTTGTTTAATATGCAATGTTGGCATTCAAAGTGAAATCCTATCACTTTCATATAATATGTACATGAGATATACAGATAACTCCTACACACCCATGCATACACACACTCACAATTTCACCAAATGAATAATTTAAAATTGTTTAAATAATTAGAAATTAAAAAATAGGGGGAAATAAGATTATAACCACCATTATTAACCACCATTATCAAATGTCGATCACATATTTTTAGTAATATCATCTAAAAGGCAGAATCTGAATGTTAAGAGCATTCTCAGAGATTGTGAAGATCTGTCTTGATCAGCATCTGACACCTGTTGCCCCAGGCTCATAGGATCCAATCTGCCTGCTATATATAGTTCAAGCAGTTATAAAAGAAGGTTTAATTTTGGAATTGCACTCAATCTAGCTTACTGCTAGTCAATGTTTCTTTGAGATCTGCTTCAGTGCCTATAGACAGCAGTAGTAATACAAAGAAAAATGGTTCAGGGCAGATTCTTCCTTCTAGGACTTATCATTAGCTACTTAACAATAGCTCATAGCTGCTGGCTGCTAATAAGTTCAAGACTTCTCCCATCTTAATTTTATTGTATATCTAGTTAAAGGTATTACTTTTCACACACAGTAAGAGAATGTTTTATAGTAGACCTTGGTTTCAAAGGTACCTAAGTTAACTCTCTCAAATAACATATTTTTAAACTTTAATAAGTAATTTAATTTATTAGGCCCTAATTTCATTATTTTAAAATGAGAGGGCTAGACCTGTATTGGAGCCCAAACGAGCACACTTGAAGACTTATGTAGACAAGTTCCAAAGTGACTTTCATATCTTTTCCCTGCTTAAGGTAGAATTTATAACCATCTAACAAAAAAACTGAGGATCCCTACATTAAATGTTTTCTAAGATCACTTTTTCTGCCTTGTTTTAACCATTGATCATCTGCTTAACTAAAAGATAATCTAGCACTATTATATAATACTCCTGTATATGACATAATACTTCCTATACTTGTCAAAAATACTATTCTTAAAAAAGAGCTTCTTAAAATTAATGATTATTGAAAATGATTGCTATTCTAACCCTCTAAAAATAAAATTTAATGGAATAAAATGTATGCAATAAAGCAGTTTTAGGACAATGGAAATGTTTAGCAAAAATCAAGCTGTTGTAAGTCGTAGAAGAGTATTTAGTACTTCTTGGCTTAAAAATGATTAAAATGAGATTTTTTTTAAGTATAGTAATGTACAAGTTTATAGTATTACAGTATATAAAGCTTTTAAGGAAATATGTGAAAAAGATTAACCAAACTGAGTTATAAATACTTACTTGTAAATGGGTAATAACTCATATCTTTTGATGGCACTGTCTGATTTTGTATCACTGTCATAGAACCTTTGCACATATCTTCCAGTTCGAAGTGGAGGGCCTAACTTGTCCATCTTACTATTAAAATATATAAAGGTGTACCCATAAGGAGATTGCTACATTTGTTTCTTTATATAAATTTTTTAAAGACATTATTTTGGTTCATCAGAAATCCACTCCCCAAGCTCTTACTTATCTCACTTCCAGGGTCAGGACTAATTTCAAAAGGAATCTTCAGAAAGTTCATACAATATCCATTATTAAATATAAAAATTCTGACTAGGCAGGCCATCTTGCCAGTTTTGATAACTAGTCAAAGAAATGCCATATTTATGCATAGCAGGGCAATGAAATCAATGAAGACACTTAAGAAAACAACTTGTTTCAAGTAAAATTTGTGAAGCTAGAAGCAAACTGAAAGTTGTTATTCTAGAAGACAGATGAGATGCTTGTTCTCTAATAATCTCACTTTTTCCCTTTCCTGAATTCATACAACCTTTCTCTTTTTTTCTTTTTTTCATTTCTCCTGCATTTAAAAGTTCAAGTATAAAATAAGAAGTCAAATAAGTATTTATATCTTTACCCAATTTAGCTTTTTAACAAAAGATGACTATTTTAGATGTTTATGTAAGGAAAAGTAAAAATAATCCTATGTGAGAAAATATGGATGGCAATATGAAAAATCACAGGTAAAATGTGAAGTGGTCATGCCAAAAGTATAAAGTATGTCTATTTAGAGGATAATAGAAGAATTAATGGTCTGCAGGTATTCCATTTTTTTCTATCAACCAAATAACTGAATCATGTATACTATCACCAACCAATATACATTCATGGTAGGGAACAGGGAAAATTAAATTATGAAATTAGGAAACTACCTTAAATGTCTATTGAATAACATCTCATTGCTTACTTTTAAAGTACACTCTTTTAAAGGGATGCCTGTTTGCTCATTCATGCTTCCACGCATTTGCTGACCTTACAGATCCTGAGCACCTATATGTGTCAGGCACTGTGCTACATTCTGGGGATATCATGATAAATAAGAGACTTGATGCTTGTTCTTATGGAGTTTAGTGTTCAAAAAGAATCTGCTCATTTTTCTAGATTATGAGGGTCTCTAAGGAGAAACATATTTCATTCATTTTTATGTTCTTTCAGTACCCTATACTATCCTATACACATAACAGGCATTTTGTTATAATTAACAGGTTCATATTAATAATTTGCAGGTGATGTTTATATTACTTAAGACATTTTAAAGTTTTTAAAAATGCCTTCGTTAAGTACATATTAAACATAATCTCTAAAATATCTGAGATTAAATTTGATGGTTTATTTTATTTTGAAAAATTACTAAAAAAGTTACCTATTTGAAATTTAAATGAACAAATCAGAATTTTCTTTGAATTAACAATTATTAAAACACTGCTCCAACTGTAGCTTAACAAAATGAATTTGGATTTGGAATAAGGAACAAAAGATTTTCTTTCTTGAAAAAAGTTGTAAAAATTAAAATTTAGAAAACCTTAAACTACATTTTTAAGACAGATTCCTCTAACATAAGAACTCCTCAGATCTTACATATGATATAACAAAGTTCAATTTTGGAAAGAGGACTGTAAAATCTAATAAAAATTTGGAGGTAATTATCTAATGGAAATATTCTACATATTCCATATGTGAGAGGATTGCCAGTGTTTTCAGTTGTTGAAAATCTAACTGAAAGGAGAGTTCCAATGATGACTTATCATCATGCCATATACCTGTGTTATAAATTCAACTCAACTGATCTATTTATCTACATACATGTGTGTGTGTGTGTGTATAAACATACACAATTCAAATATTACTTAGGTTAACTGTAAATAAATGTTAATCTTAACCTAAAAATCACTTAAACTTATGTTCTGCTAAAATCTGCTACTCTACACTATGTTCAAATCAAGGTATAACCATAAAAAATTAATTTGTAAAGTTAAACAGTATAAATAAAATTTTACATATATAAACATTTATACATATAAATACATTATATATAATTTATGTAGAAATACATACATATAAAATCTTAATTACACATATATTTTTAAATATTAAAAGTCAATGTTGGGGTAATTAAATAAAAATTTAGAAAGATTCATTTATGAAAGAACTTTCAAATATTTAAATCTTTCCCTAAGCTACCCATATCTAAGATGTAACAGGCTTTTCTCATGTACCATCATCATATTTATCTTGGTACACATAGACACGTCTTTCCTCATGTCTTCTTTTCTATTAAACTCCTTACTTCTGTGCCTCTGTCTCCAGTAGCACTAAGGATAATTTAAAGCAAGCAACAAGATGAAGGGAAATTTGAAAACGAATGGAAAGTTTTGCATAAGTGGCTATATTATCAAAGGGAATTTAAAAGCATCAATCCAGCTGATAATTCTCCAGTTGAAGTTTTTTCTTCTTCCTTGGTCTTGTAAACCATCAGTTAAGGGAGTGAATAATATGAATATAGAAACTAGCTCTGGCTGCTGTGGCTCAGTGGACTGAGTATTGGCCTGCAAACCAAAGGGTCACCAGTTTGATTCCCAGGCAGGACACATGCCTGGGTTGCAGGCCAGGTCCCCAGTTGGGAACACATAAGAGGCAACCACACAGTGATGTTTCTCTCCCTCCCTTCCTCTCTCTCTCTAAAAATAAATAAATAAAAGTTAAAAAACTTAACAAAAACAAAGAAACCAGGAAGTATGTTTCTATTACGTGTTTTGCCTTGATCTCAAGGGCTTAGATGTTTCAAATTATGAAAAAAATGCAACTTTGTTGATTTTCATACAGAATTCACCCATCATTTACTACTAGGGTTGCTTTGAAAATTAGTAAATGTTGAAAAATACAATGAAAATTCCATTTTATTATGTATTTTTAATTATTCACAAAGTTTGAGGAATATAAATTCAATCTGATAGTTCCCAATTACGCAACTAATAAGATCAATATTTTTATAGAGTGTTTCAATACCATTTTTGTTTAAAGGCTCCAATTCAGTAATGGCAATTATTATACACCCAAGGTCTGTGAGAAATTAAGGCAGGAATAAACAAATCCATTCATCAGTAAAAGTAGTCTTGCTGCTGCTAAGGAAACAAAGGAGGGTACTTTGATGCCAACCAAGCATCAAAGTAGCAGGCATTTTAGTGCAGACTAAGCAATCCGACCATGTAAGACAATATAGAATTTCAATCTCATATCAAATGCCCTTAATTGACACCTAGATTTAGGCATAGTCAACATGAAAGTACATTTTCAATTCCTCACTATTGTTTGAATTCAATCATTGAATAGTGTAGGATTAATAAAAGTTATAAAACACTTTGGTTCCACAGAATACTAATGTGTAGCAAAAGTTCCTAGAAAGCCCAAATGACTTAAAAAAATACCAGTTCCATCTTTGGATGTAATGAAGAATCCTTAACCCTCCCACCCTTCAAATTATAAATATCTAATGCCTACTACAATAACTTACTCTAAAAAAAGGAGTGGCAAACTTTTCCTGTAAAGGTCTAGACAGCAAGTAGTTTAGGCTTTGTGGACTATACTCTGTCTGTCATGAACACTTAACTGTGCCATCGGAGCATGAAGAAAGCCACAGACAATGCAAAGCAATTGGGTATGGCCATGTTCCAACAAAAACAGATGCTAGGATAAAGAATTTAGATAATGGGAAGATGCTGGCAAGATGGGTGGGAGTGGAGTCTACTTCCCCATGCACACAGGTGAAACACCTAGCCAATCTTCTGAGGAACAGAGCAAACAGCCAACAGTACCCCAGCATATATGAAGATTGGAAACCAAAAATTACAGAGGACACTGAAAAGTCAGATGAGTAGGTAGAAGCTGCGAACACCAGGATACCTGCTGGAAGAGGAAACCCACCAACAAAGGAACCACCAACAGAGAACAGCAGAAGAAGGTGAAGGAGGGAGTAGAAGCCACATGAACTCTGCCCAGGACCTGTCTGGAAATACAACTAAATGGTGAAGAAATTAACCAGAACAAACAACTGAACAAGAGCAAAAGAGAATCTGCAAAACCTTGCACATACGGAAGAAACAACTTCAACACAACTGGCCCTCACCAGAACAACAAATTACAACAGGTGATGGAGTGACACTCAGTTAACCAGATGGTAGGAAGGACCCACCAAAGAAAGACACAACAATCAAAACTCAAAAACATACAGAGAGCCAACATAAACGACAGCCCAAAACTAGCAAGTTCAGGAGATTAGGGAGAATTTCACAGGTCTTCTACCACAGAAGTTCACACCACTGAATCTCATAGGTCTTCTACCATAGAAGTTCACACCATAAACCCAGGGAGTCACAACAGAACAATTTAAGAAGCTGAGGCTAACAAGAAGAGTCTCACAAACAATGGGAAGACAAAGAAACAATCCCCAAATGAAAGAAAGGGAGGAAGCTTCAGAAAGAATGCTAAATGAAACAGAGGCAAGTCAACTATCAGGATATTGAGTTCCAAGCAATGGTTATCAGGAAGCTCAATGAGCTCACAGTGAATTACCAGAAACTACAGGGAAACTACAGTGAACTCAGTGAAAACTATATCAACATGAAAAAGGAAATAGAAATTGCCAACAAGGGCCAAGAGGAAATGAAGAATACAATTTCTGAACTGAAGAACACAGTAGAAGAAATCAAAAGCAGGATCGAGGAAGCAGAGGATCAGATCAGCAAGCTGAAGGACAAAGTAGAAAAAAAACACCCAGAATGAGCAAGAAAAGGAAAAGAGGCTCCAAAAGACTGAACAGGGGTTAAGGGAAATGCAGGACAACATGTAATGTAATAATATCCGCATAATAGGGATACCAGAAGGAGAAGAAGAGCAAGGGATAGAAAACCTGTTTAAAAAAGTAATGATGGAAAACTTCCCTAATTTGGTTAGAGAAATAGCCACACAAGTCGAGAAAAAAACAAAGAGTCCCAATCAAGAGGAACCCAAAGAGGCCCACTTCAAGACACATCATAATTAAAATGGCAAAATTCCAAGACAAAGAGAGAATCTTA